TTGGGTTGCCAGAAAAGTCATGACGTATTTTTTTCTATGTTTTTCATTGCAAAAATGCGTCATGACTTTTCCAACAACTCAATAGTATACACCCCTCCCTCCTATGCCTCTAGGTGAGATCCTGATTAGCTTAAGCTAATTATGATAACCTCGATTTCTTCAACAGTGATTGGCTCAAGCATTGTCATGTGATACAATTCTCATCAATGAGCCATGAGAGGCAATTTCTAGAAGCTTCTAGAAAAGCTTTCTTCCATTTTAAAGAGAAGCCCAAGGAGGAAAACATATCTTTTTTCCTTCCTTCTAACCATTATTGCATCAGGATGTTACGCCTGGACTTGCTGCTGCCATTTTGTAGCCACGAGGTAAGTTGGCCCAAAGGAAAAGCTAATTGGCTAAAGCTGGCAGAGAAGAAAGAATGAAGGGGTTCTTGCTGATACTGTTAAGCCACCATCCCTAAAGCTACCCTAGCTTTATATGTCTTGTTATACAGATATAATAAGGTCCCTTATTGTTCAAGCCAGCTGAGTTGGCGTTTTCTGGGGCTTGGATCCTGAACTCCCTAATTAATACATGAGAACATGAGATACTAGGATTATAAAGTTGATGGATGAATACAGAAGGTCTGCAATGAATTATAATTTTGCCTTCTTTTATTTTTATCACGAGAAACAGAATAGCTGCAGGCACCTCTTACACTCCAGAAATACGGGTACATACAGGGACTCAAAGAACACCAGGCCGAAAACAAGTATGGAGGGAAGAATGGACAGCAGTTTCTAAGAGTATGAAAGGACCCATTTATGCAAGGCCAGTAATTTCAGTCATTCAATCAATAAACATTACCGGGCACCCTCCTCTGAAGTAGACCCCGTGCCAGCACGGGGGATTTGACATGGGTCTGCCTCTATCTGCTCATGGGTGGGTGAGACAGACACATAAACACAACATGCCGGATGCCGCACTCAGGGGGGTGACGTGTAACTAGAGGGCTGTGGGAGCTCAGGAGGAACAAGGCTGATTTTGGATGGGGAAGACAGGGAAGGAGTCCCAGAAACGGGACATTTGAGTTGCACTTGCAAAAACGTGAATTTCATCTGACACAGGTACCCCACAAAAGGCACATCTGGTGTAAAAACAGCAAAGTGTGGACAAACAGGGCAAGTGTTAAAGAGAGTGCTGATTACGTATGAGCACCAGGAATGTAGGGGAGCGCACAGGGTAAATGGGGGAAGGAACAGAGGGGCGAATAAGTAGGTGGGGTCCAGAGTGTTAAGGACTGTGAATTCATCTGTTCCCCAGCACTGCCTGGACCATGCTCCCCATGTCTACAGACAGAAAAACAAACAACATACCGAGGGAGGGAAATAGAACAGCAAGGATATTCTTTCTCCACTGCAAGTGGGCCCCAGTGAGATATCCAGTCTGCTGTAGGTCCTTATCAGGATTCAGATGATGGCTTTCTGGTCCTCTTGAAAGCTACTAAAGCTCCCTTAAATTCAAAATGGCTCAAGGGCCCCCACAGAAGATCTTGGCAGCTAGAGACAACTACAATGTCTGATAAGCAAATCCCAACAATTTTTCATTATGTGAAAAATCAACCTAGAAGAACATCTACCAAAAAACTACAGCTAACATCATATTTAAAGGTGAGAAGCTGGATGCTTACCCCCAAAGACTGGGAACAAGGCAAAGATATCTTCTCTCACCACGCCTATTCAAAATCATACTAAAATTCCACGCTAGTATAATAATAAAAGAGAAGGAAATAAAAGGCATACAAGCTGGAAAGGAAGAAATAAAACCAACTTTTTCTGTAGATGACATGATTGTAGAAAACCCAAAGAAATGACCAAAACAAACAAAACAATAAAAAGTACCCAAACTCCAGAAAAAAAAATTGAGGGTTGCTAGTTGGGAGGGGGTGGGGATGAAGGAGAAGGGGAAGAGATGAGACAATACAAATTGGTAACTACAATATGGCCTCAGGGATAGACAAGACAGTCTGGGGAATATAATCAATAATATTGTAAATATTTTTTAGTGGGACTCATGTCTTGTTAGGGAGACCACCTCATAGTCAGTGTAGAGGCCGATATACAGGACCACCACACTGTATATTGGAAGCTGATGTTGAATAATAATGTATGTCAACTATAATTATATATACATATAGTCATGGGACGTGGAGTAGAATGTGGGAATGGAGTCAATGGAATTGTAATAGATAAGCATGATATCGGGGGTGGGAGGACAGTAGATGGGGGGAGGGGGGTTGTTACTTTGTGAGGGGTGAAAAGGATAACTATTGCATTGTTCTGTACACCTGAAACTAACAATAAAAAAAAAAGTACCCAAACTCTTAGAACTAATAAGTAATTATAGTAAGGTTGCAGGATACAAGGTTAATATACAAAAGTCAATTGTTTTCCTATATACTAGAAATTAATGATTAGAATTAGAAATTAAAAACACAATATCATTTACAGTAGCACCAAAAAATGCAATACTTAAGTATAAATCTAACAAAATATGTATAGCAATATGCAGAAAATTACAAAACTCTGATGAAAGAAATGAAAGAAGATCTAGATAAATGGAGAATATTCAGTGTTCATTCATTGGAATGCAAAACATTGTTAAGATGTCAATTATTCTCAACTTTATCTATAGATTCAATGCAATCTCGGTCAAAATCACAGCAAGATAATTTGTGGATATTGAGAAACTGATTCTAAAATGTACAAGACAAGGCAAAAGACCCAGATTAGTCAACACAATATTGAGGAAAAGTAACAAAGTTGGAGAGCTGACACTACCAGACTTCAAGACTTACTATAAAGCTACAGTAATTGAGGGCTGGCTGAGTGGCTCAGTTGGTTAAGAGCTCGCTCAAGAGTTTGAGCTCTGAGCACAAGAGTTTGAGCTCTGAGCAACAGCAGTTCGATTCCTGGCCTGAGCTGAGCTGCCGCTGAGCTGCCAACAGGTGGCAGGATGGCTCAGCTAAAAAAAAAAAAAAAGTTACAGTAATGGAGACAGTATTGTATTGGTGAAAGACTAGACACCACAGATCAATGAAATAGAATAGAGAACCCAGAAATAAACCCATACAAATATATTCAATTGACCTTTGACAAAGGAGCAAAGGCAATTCAATGCAGAAAAGATAGTCTTACCAAAAAATGGCTCTAGAACAATTGGGTATCCATATGAAAAAAATTTAATCTACACAGACCTTACACTTTTCACAAAATTTAACTCAGAATGATCACGGACCTAAGTATTAAACACAATACTATAAAATTTCTAAAACAAATATAGGAGCAAATCTATGTGATTTAGAATTTGGCAATAAGTTTTTAGATACAACATCAAAAAGACATCCATGAAAGAAAAACTGATAAGTTGGACTTCATTAATTTCTACCCTGCAAGAAATATTGTGAGGACAATGAAAAGACTAACTATAGACTGGGAGAAAATATTTACAAAACACATATCTGATAAAAGACTTGCATACAAAATATACAAAGAACTCTAAAAACTGAACAATAAGAAAATAGCACAACTACAAAATGGGCAAAAGATCTGAACAGACATGTCATCAAAGAAGATATACAGATGGCAAATAAGCATATGAGAAGATGTTCAACATCATTTGTCATTAGAGAATGACAAATTAAAACAACAATGAGATAGCATTACACACTTAATTAAAATGGCTACACTCCAGCAGCAATGAGCATACCTAGTGCCCATGTCTTGGTTTCTAGTACCAAGAAAGGGAACCAGGATTCCTTGGAAAAATGGCTGATTCTAGGACTGGAGAGAAAATATATAGGAAATATGCAAAATGAGTCTGGAAACAGAAAGTAAGAAAGCTGAAACAATTTGAGCAACAAAATAAAGTAGTATTGGATTATAACGTAAACCACAAAATAGATATCCATGCATCCATACTGATATAAATGACTGAATAAATTAGTAAATGGAGAGGAGAAAAATCTCCTTTGTAGAATTCCAAATTATGTAGGTCCTGTGCTCTCAAAGAGGGAAAGCATAATCCCCAACTCTTTAAATGTGAGCTCTGCATAGTGACTTCCTTCCAGGGGGAACAACATGGAAAACGGGAACAAGAGTAACTTTACAGTGGAGAAATATGACAAACACTACCTCGGCCAGGTGGACATGGTCAACATCACAGTCATAAATCATGGGATTTGATGCGATGAAAATAGCACTTCTGTGATATTCCTTCCCTAAATCCATAACCCTAGCCTAATTCTGAAAAAAACAAAACAAATAAAACAACAACAACAACAAACAACCAGAGAAATCCCAGTAGAGGGACATCCTAAAAAATACTTGATTAGTATGCCTCAAAACTTTCAAAGTCTTCAAAAACAACAAAAGTGTGAGAAAATGTCACAGTCAAGAGGAGCCAAAGGAGATGTGATGGCTAAGTGTAATGTGATATCTTACATAGGATCTTGGAACAGAAAAAGGGCATTAAGCAAAAACTAAAGGAATCTGAATAAACTATGGAGTTTAGTTAATAATATATCAATGCTGGTTCATAAATTGTAACAAAGGTACCATACTAATGGAAGATATTAATAAGAGGAAAAAAGGGGTAGAGGGCATATGGGACTCTGTACTATCTTTGCAATTTTCCCGTAAACCTAAAACTATTACAAAGAATACTCTATTTAAAAATATCAACCCAAATTTGCTACTTTTCCAACCAAATACTGTGTTTACTGGGGGGAAACCCGTGATTTTATGGAACACGTGTTTCCTTCCATCACCACCAAGAAGACAGGTAATTTACTGAACATTAGCTGAGCTCTATGGACGCATTAGTACAGGAGGCAAAGCACAAAGACCATTTCAAAGCCCTACAGTTCAAGCTGTACTCTTCCCAAGTAAGAAGCCAGGTTTTTTCAGGACGAAGTGCATGTTTTTTGTTGTTGTTGTTGTTTTTGTTTTGTTTGTTTCCAGGGCTGAGATGAGAAGACAGAGCTTCCTCATAACTTAAGGATACCTGGAAGCGTCATTTCTGCTTTCCCAAGAAGGGGTCTATCCCACTAGTACAACCATCACTGAAGGTACAGTGGTCACTTTAATGATTTTCTCTGGAACTGTTCTGGAAATATCTATCCACAGTCCCTCATGGGAGTCTTTACACCATGGGCTTTTGTATTAGTTTTCTATTGCTGTAGTAATAAATTACCACACATTTCGTGGCTTGAAACAACACAGAGTTATTATCCTTATGGTTCTATAAATTAGAAGTCCAACATGGGTCTCACTGGGCTAAATCAAGGTGTTGGCAGGGCTATGTTCCTTTCTGGAGGCTCTAGGGGATGATCGATTTTCTTGCCTTTCCTACCCTCTAAAGGCCACCTGCATTCCTTGGCTTGTAGCCTCTTCCTCCATCTTCAAACCAGCAATGTGTGCATGTGCGTGTGTGCATGTGTGCGCGTGTGCGCGTGTGTGCATGTGTGTGTGTGTGTGTGTGTGTGTTGTCAAATCCTTCTCACATTGCATCACTCTGATCTCTTCCACTTTAAAGTGCCCTATAAGTATATGGGATGCCTTAATAATCCAGGATAATCTCTCTATTTGAGAGTTGGCTGATTAACAACCAAAATTTAACCAGCAACCTTAATTTGCCTTTGCCATGTAAGATAACATTCACAGATTCCAGGGATTGGGAACTGGACATCTCTGGGGGGCCATTATTCTGCCTCTAATAGCTTTCTTGGTTAAGGGGACAGGTTCTGTTCTCAATCCTTGCCCTTGCCTACAACATGTGGGTTCACTTTTCCTCTGTGTGAGACTGCCAAAAGAAAATGCAAAATCCCAACCCTCTTCATCCAAGCCTTTAAACTAGAGGGGTTTTATTACCTTTAACTAAAAGGATACTTGTTTCAGCAGCCATAATATAAAGAAAGCATCATGTAAACATGGGTGCCAGCTTGTGGTGGCCTCAGCAGACTGTCAGGGTCTCACCATACTTCCCTCTACTTGATACAGCTATTTAGTCACCAGGGTCTGACATCCGGCCCTAGGAGTGCAGCCAAAAAAGGGAACTTAGAGGCTGGTGTTGTGATGGGAGCTGACAGGGGCATCTACAGCCTTGAGTCTTATCGTTTCCATGAGCGTCTTTGTTTCAGTCAGTTTTATAGTCTCTGCAGAGTTGGGAGGCTGCCAAGGCTGGACATTTATTCGTTGTTTAGCCAAGCACGTGATTCAGCTACCCTCCAATTGTAAGTAAGCAGGAGGGGGAAACGGGTGCACCATTGGCTAGCTTTGGACAGTCAAAACAATCTGAATAAAACATGGGTGGCGGTCTCAAGTAAGCCATGGGAGTTTAATCGAAACTGCACAGGCACAAAGGGTCTTTCACCAAATACATCACTGTTCTTTGTCTTTTGCCATGCCATGTCCCATTATCTCTTTAGATTGAGAACCTGAACTGTTTCCTTGGTTTTCAAGGTCTGTTCCTACTTGAGCAGAAGGTGGTTGGATGTGCCATCCTGGGAATTTATAATGGAAAATGCCATTGTGCCTGTGTGTGCGTCCATGCACACTAAGCTCTTGTAACAGCCTTAGGGAGCCCACAGAGATTGATCTGGTATTCTGGGTAATTACATGTGAAGAGTGGGTATAATAAGTGACCCAAGACAGCCAGTGTGGAGCTGGTACTACTTCTCTCTTTCATTCGTAAACATGTGTGGGCACCTCTGGTGCCAGGAGCTATGAGTACAAAGATAAATCAGCACCTCTTTTCTGAGGTCAGTAGGTTCCAGAAAGGCAGCTACCTGTGGTGGCCCTCAGAGCCCAGCACAGTGCCAGGCACACAATGAGCACTCCACAAGTGCTCAGAGGATGCTTTAGTTAGGGGAGGGAGAAAAACGAGGCATACACAAACTGCAATGCAACTTGATGAGGACCTCCACCCAGTTCTGAACCAAGTTCTGAGAGCTGAGTGCCCTTCCAGGGTGGAGGGAGCAACAGGGGCATGTGGGGTGTGCAGAGGCCACTGGAGGGCCATGGCGCCCCAGGCACCAGGTGCAGCCTCTGCACCTCATTTGCATTTATCTCTGGGTATCACCTGAGTCAAGTTTCCTCATTTCATTCTCTGTGGCTCTTTGACCTTCATGTCTATCTCCTCATTTATTAATCCTGAACAGGCAGTCATTTATTTTTGCATTGGCTCCTTGCTGTATAAAAAGTGCCACATCAAGTATTAGTCCACTTGAATTCTCAAGTGGTGGCCTGGGTAGAAACAAAAGCTCTGGGTGTGGCTGGTGAGTGAACATGGCATTGTGTTTTGTTTGGATCAATTCACTGGTGGTCTAATTTCTGGGTTTGTCTAAAGGTCTGTCATTGGTTTATCCTGAAGGAGTACAGTCTGTGGAAACTCTCTCTTGAATGAAGAATGATGATGGTGGTGAGAGAACACACACTTACACTGCACTTCCTTTGTACCAGGTACACAGATGTGGCACTTAAAGAAAAACATATTAACTCATTTAATCTACCAAACAATCCAGTGAGTAGGTACCATTATTCTCCCGATTTGACAGATGAGGATACTGAGGCTCAAAGAGGTTATGTAACCAGACCAA